CACAACAGGGTGGTTCATGGACGGTGACTTGCGCGTGAATCAGTTTTAACTGATAGCAGACTTCAAATGCATATATCGCACTCTCTCTTACCTCACCCACCTCTGTCCGCTGTCAATACACAGTCAAGAAGGCCGGAGGCGGGATCGGGCGCAGGTGGCTGGCGCGATCGGAGCCACCTTTATGCATGCCACAACGCCTCCCCCACTATCTTCGGCATTTTTATGGGTGCGCAACCCAAATGACGCCTGCCATACCCTGATATGACCCCCGTGTTCGTCCAGTGTATCTATCCCGCGGCTCATTTGGGGGCACTATTTTCAACACCACCGTCCCCAGCACAAACAGTGATGACTTGATCCCAACATGTCCTCGTTGCGATCATGCATGCATACAACGCATCGACTTGGTCAGTCACTTGCTAATCCATGGCATATTGATGGGTGTCCGGCCCTTCTTATTTGACAGCCAAATATTTTAGAAGATAAGTTGGCGAACATACGTCTGTTTTCGATAGATTCTCGTCAGGCCTTTAAAGTTATATGGTAATGAAATTAATAAGCTATGCTGGCTGGTGGACACGTGTGACGTTGTTGTTGTCAATTTCATTGTTCATTGTTGTTCATTTCATTACCATATAAATGTAAAGGCCTGACGAGAATTTATCAAAAGCAAGCGTATGTTCGCCAATTTATCTTCTGAAATTTTCAATGCGAATTTTTGCAAATTTAAAAAGCTAAATATTTCTGTCAAAATGCAGATCTTTCTAGCAGACAGCATACACGAGTGAATGAAAACGTTCGCGTTCCAGACAACATAAACTTTTTTACGAGTCTGTAATAGAATTGTAAAAAAACTCTGTCCGAGCGCCTTAGTGTGGAATACAGATATCACCCTGAGAGAAAATGCATTAGGATAACTTCAGTATGGAAGCTACTGAATCAAAACGAAATATAAATTGTGGGCCTAAGACGGCACTTTGCGATGTCTTCGAGCCACGGCACTTTGGCAGCTGACGACGAAATCAGTTATCCGGAATAAGGCTCCCGTGGCCGAAGGCTAACTCAACATCCGCCCCCACGCGTCTTACCACGCCCCGAAATAGTGACGAAGCCCCGACGGCAAGCATCCCTAGGCCACTCACGCCGTCACGAGACGATGACACCCTGCGTCCTCACACCTCCCAAAAAAATGCGAGCCAAGGACGACGGAACTACATGAACTAATTGTCGGACCCTTTCTCCTCCTCCCGTACCCTTTCCCCTCTCCGGTACCCAAATGAAGACTAGAATCTGACCCCTTTGCTCCCTTTACACCTCCCCCCTTGTCCCCCTAACTATTACTGATTGGTTGCTAAAACTTTCGTTAATTTATAATGAATTAATCGAAAACGTTTGTTCGCCTAACTTTACTTCCTGGATGCTTACATGGATATCATTGCTGAATAATGAATATAATTGAAGTTTCCGCAGGGTGAACTGAAAAAAGAGGCCTTGGTTCAGAGAGAGAGAGCCTTATTTTCTCAATCACGTTATTATAGCTGGACGGATACTCCTACCCATAGTCAAAATGACACTCGCTAACCCGACATAACGTTGATGGAGTCCCCTCTGTTTGATGCAAATGCCACTGAGGAGTGTTTCTGGAAATTATTGCATCAGACAGGTCGCAATCATCTAGGCCACATTTTTCGCTATTCAAACGTTTACCAACATATTTAACGAATTTTAAATGACATCTCATTGTCGTTTTCATGATTCAGGTGATAGATTCTGAGCAATGGGCTCCCTGTGAAGGACCGACGATAAAATTTGCAGGAAATCTAATTTGAAAGTGCTTACCTAGTGGTGAAAGCCATAAAGAATGACGAATTTTGACTCAGTCCTATTCAAAAGGTTTAGCCTGACGAAGCTTTTTTATCCGGAAGCAAATTAAAACATTATCAATGCATTCTGTATAAGGGGATTTTCAGTTTTAGCTTAGCCTCAATCAAAAGGTAGGAAAGAGGGGCAACTTATTAGGCGCTGGACGCAGATAACCCGCTGATAATCTGGGAAGACCGGTGTCCACAAATATCCAGAACAGCCAGACAAATAACAACCTGGTTTTACTACTGCAGGTTAGCCCTCAGGTGATGTGCTGAAGAAAATAATTAATTCATCAGAACAAGTTATTACCCCGCTCATAATGTTTCGTTAGGTGTTCTGTTGAGTCAAAACTTTCAATCGGAACCAGTGTGCTACTGCTGTGAGGTATGTCTTGATGGAATAAGTATTCTACTGTCTAATCCGGCTTTCTGTTTTGTGAATAGCATCATTGGAAAGAGCATGAGTATAAATATCCTAATAAAAAGCAATGCAATGAATTCCACAGGAGCACGAAGAAAGAAACAAACATACCTGAAGACGCGGGTAATTTAAAGCTCTCAGGTTCTTTTACTTGACTCAGAACCTTGCCAGTTCTCGTGAACTGAAATCCATTTTCATAGACTATGGCTGGCAGGAACGGTCAAAATTTTATAAACCATAGACGACTTCGTTCTAAACGTCTTTCGAATTTACGAAGTGGTAATGAAACCTTACATAAAACCAATTACACCACCATATTTACATGCGTCTTGCATATGAGTATTAGCTTGTCGAGCGGACATCCTTCAGCGTATCCGTCACAATCAGAAACAAGCACCAATGTGTCTAGGACGCACTGGTGAGTTGCGTTCGAGTTGGGCGGCAGTTATATCATTCTGGCTTCTCGCTTCCATCACTTCCAAATCGCTGCACAAAATCAGAGACCGCTGACGCTTGGCTCGAGGACACATGCTGGTCTACAAAACAGCCTTCGAATGAGTGGTTTTAGTCTCATGTGAGAAAGATTTCTAAAGAGTCCACGCATAATCTGGTCCCCACTGCATGTACCAGGCGAAGGTGCCCTGCAAGCTTCATTAAGAGGGATCCATTTCGGTCTGAGAACAGTCACGTTATCCCGTCAGTTGGCAGTCCTGAATCCAAAAAATCGGGGGTACTGGAAAACCACAGCTGATTATTGGCGGTAAAAAAGTTTGGGTTAGACTTACATCAGATCTAATTCACTCGCTCTCTCTCTCTCTCCCTCCCTTTCTTTACTACCTTTTACTTCAAAGCAACAACGCAGATCCTACCTTCCACTGCCGCTAATCCTCCCGGGAGTGCAGTAAGCATCATCGAAAATTTACAGGCCTCAAGCCCCTTATCTGCGCATGGCTCCGAGTATCCTACAAGTACCTATGACTAAGGCTTCCCGACGTAATCTGAAACGTCAGGAAAATAAAACTGTTCTTCCAGTGGTCGCATCCTTTTCTTCTGAAGCCTCAAATCCCGCCGAACGCCGCGACTTTTTTCACAATTGGGTCAACTAAATTATGCGACGGTCGATGGACGAGAGGGGGACGTGGCTGAGCCATCTTGTCAATCGTTTTGACCAATCACAGTACGATGCGCCTTCCCGACAGAGCGACCACTCTCACCAAAGTCATTCGAAAATCCTGACTCCATTTCTATTGGCTAAAGGGATACCCGGAAAAGTTCGCCCGGTAGCCTGTTACTGCGACGGGGAAACAGACGGGAACTCCAACATTCAGTGGTTCCAGTGCTGCCTGAAAGTTAGACCAAAACACCGCTACTTCTGCCGACGTTAGTTGCTCACTGTCTATAGCAACATCTGCATACCCTCAACCGAAATTCCCTGCCAGTGACTTCCAGTTAAAGACCGCGAAAATCAGACATGGCAAACGTTCACCCGTGTAGGTTGCTTGTGGAAAACCTTGTAGCGTTATGCGAAAAACTACAAGCCAGTGAGGACTACGCTGGCCTCAACTACATGTTTAATGGATGCTGTCCTGCTGTCCCACTGAATCTCCTGGAGACTGACGAGATCTTGAAGGCCCAAGCGGTTCTAGCCTTGCTTGAGGGCCGGTACAGCGACCTCTATCGTATCCTGGAGAGACACCACTTCGCACCGCAACATCATGCGCGGTTACAGGAGTTGTGGCTAAGGGGGCATTGTGCAGAGGTGGAAGAGAGCCGGGGACAGTCAGTAAACCCAGTCGGACGTCATCGTCTACGCAAGAGATTCCCACCCCCACCAACTATATGGGACGGGGAGGAGAGGTGTTATTTCTTCCAGCGCAGATCGCGACAGTTACTGAAGGACTGCTACGCTCGTAATCCCTACCCTTCGCCACGCGAGAAAGTTGAGTTGGCAAAACAGGTGGGACTGACGAGGGTCCAGGTTTCCAACTGGTTCAAAAACCGACGGCATCGTGATAGGAGGGGAGAAGAATCTGCTCCAACGCCTAGGTAATTGATTTTGCTTTGCATAAAATGTGATAATGCAGTTTATGCTTGTCACGTTAGGGTCCAGTTGTCCGTCGACGTTACATTTGTAAGACAAATTAGCAATCTGGCACCCCTTCTAGTAGCACTGAGGCATTTTCTCAGGCCATTATGAATATTCTTATAATTTTTGTGGGACTAGCATGAACGAGTATTCTGTTCATGGGTTCCGAGGCGAATAAACTCATTATTCCACCGATCAAGTTTTCTTTTTTCTCAGATGGCTCCTCAAAAACGTCTTCATCAAAGTCAGGCTGTTTTTAGGTACGGAAGGCGTACGGAGGATTTCACAAACACAAGTAGTTCAGTCTATAAACGAAGTGATCCTAAACACAGAGGCAGCCATTAGATTATATAGTTTTTATTCTTTCTATTTTGGAAATTTTAGGCCTGAGGGCAGTTAAATTCTAACCTACAACTTGCTTGGGTGGTTTCTTGTCATTCTACTCTTTGAATGCTCCATGTTCAAGCCTTCTGATTCGGAGACATTTTGCAGTTTTTTCTGGTTTATATGTCTTGAATTTAATTCCTCCGTTTCTATAAAAAAGTACTCCCGATCTGCTCTCCAAAGGCAGTGACCTTTATGATCTTATCATTTAGCTTCTGGTGGTTAACTTTGGCCTGTTTGCAACCTCAACACCCAGTCGTATTGGGGTGGTGATTGATGGTTTCCGGAAAGTGTTTTACTCATTGGAGTGCCCTGCTATGATGTGATTTGGTTTACCGCCCCATTTCGCATACAGTGTTTCAACAAAGTTCACGGGTAACAATTCACTTCAACTAACTGCTGGGGTGCTACAAATGGGCAACCTTGCCTGCAGTTTCACCACAGCGCGCCTCATTTGGA